TATAACTAAGCTTGTTACAGTGGCCTACTTACAGAGTATTGAGGCAACTATTTTATTTTTTTCCGTGTTTCCAAGGTTTCCATGGTTTTAAAAAAATATATAATTATATTGTGCTCTGGACCAACCTGTCTCTGGATCACACTGGTGTTCACAAGGATCTAGTAGACGTCGTCCACACAGCTCATTGACCCAAGGTCCACTAGCATTCTGCTGGTAGTATAACAAGATCTGGGCAGGATTGAGCCAATCTGAAGCATCCAACTGGCTCCCCTGGAGCAGAATGAACCTTGATCCTTAGGAGAATGGAGAGAAAACAAGTATTAAATCTACACTAAAGAAAAATATGATTGGACAGGAAAGAAACATGGTTGGCATGGCAACAACATTATAAAGCAAAATAATGAATTAGAAGAAATTCAACATTCTATCCATTTCATTGACAGTTAGCAGTGGTTAAAAAAAAACTAGCATTAGATTCACATTTAGTGTCAATAACCCAAATATGTTAAAAAGATAAGGAATTATATCACCCGATCCAAGACATTTTTCAAGAATACTTGAGGCAAGTTTCCAAGGAAAATACATAGACTGTATATTTTGGGCAAATACAAGAAGTTAAGAACAAAGTAAAATTAAAGCAGCTTCTAAATAGATAAGGACAACAATGGTGAATATTTCTAATATAATTAGATGAACACCATCACAATAAAGACCATATTCACCAATAATTTGTTACTTTTACAATTTAATGTAACTGTTACTACTTTTTAGTTACTACCAAAAAATATAAGTCTAAGAAGGGAAAGAGATCCCTTTTAAGGGTTAGCTTAAAATAGAAAATATTGTGCTCTGTATCTGTCCATACAGAACCCTTGTAATCATAAAGATAAACTGACACATGGTGTAAAATTAAATGTAATTTAAAGATAAAGTTAGGTAAAGGAAAAATGCTTTGTTTTCTACAGTAACATACTATCGCTCTGAAGGATTTAGAAATGTAGGCATTCTTTTGAAAATATTCAAGTTAAATAAAAACCTACATAAACCATTTAACTTATAAGAATACAATCTTTTATCTTATTATTTTAGAGTAAATATTGTAATATAATCATAGACATTTTTGGGTCTGTTTTATCATTTTAAGTGTCTTTTGAATATGTACTTATATCTGCATCCTTAGTGTGCATTCCTGGTGCTCACACAATGACAATTAAGACATTCATTCATTCGCTATCCACAAATAAAATGTTAATTCATTAGTCACTTCTATGGACTATTGTGATTATTATCATAGTGCTTTAAATAACTCTCGAGACAGCCTAAGGCTTATTCATTTAGTTATGCCTCTATTGCCTGAGGCTTAGGGGCTCCCAGTCTGATCTGAGCATCTCTTTCCTCCTCTTCAATATTTTTTTGTGCTGTGAAGATGAGCTGTAAAATTATGAAAATATGTTTTTGGCAAAAACTGCAATGTTGTTTTTAAAATTTGTAAATAGCATGTTTTATGCTTTACTTTAACATTATTAAATCCCAGCACATTACTAAAATATGCTTAATGTCCAAAGCCAGTCTTATATAAAAAACAACAACAAATAAACAAAAAACTAACTGATTACAATTAAATAACTAGTTACAACGAATAATGGATAAAATCCAAATCAGTTTTCCCCATGGACTCCACTGTTCAAGTTAGAGTGCTAAGAACATAAAATTAAAATGACTTTGTTTTATATTTTGTGCATTTTTTGTGCATTTTGTCATACAGCATCAGCAAAAACTACCATTAGAACACTGAAACTCAACAGCCAATCAACAATAAGCTTCAGTAGGCTCATAAAGACTGATCAAATTACAAATTATTTTTTCTATATTTTTGTTTTAGGTTTCAGACGTTTATAGCAGAAAGCCTAATTTGATTTTTGTTGTCACTGATTAAAGTTGTTTTAATAATTTTTCCCATGAAAGACAAAAAATTGTAGAGAGCATTTTTCTTCTGTCTAAAATAAAAATGTTTTTAATTTTACAGACAATGCATGATTTGTTGAAAGCATATGCTGTTTACTCTTAGGTCATCTTGCAAGCTATTAATCTATTTTCCTACCACGGTTCAGTTTCAAAAAGCAGGTTTAGCACACTCAGAGACAAATCATCAACTCTGAATTGATCTGGGCTAAAGTTGGAAACTCTGAGATCTCAGTTTCATAAAAGTTGCTGTAAGTTATTTTAAACAACTCTGAGCAGGTTCACTCAGAGTTGAACACGAGTACAACAAGTATAAAAAGCCATTATCAATGGAGTTTCTAATTTTACCAGTCACCATGATGACAGGCAACAGGAAGTGATATTTCACCCCACTGAAACAAGAGATTTTAATGATGAAACTAGAGAAAAAAAAAATGTGAATGTGTTTAAAAGATAGAGCAACACATTTTAATTAAGTCTTTTATGGCAGGCCATTTTAACATTTATTAAAAGCATTCTCCTCTCTGCTGTTCCATTTGTAGATCACTAAAATAGGACTCTTCCTGGTCAAAATCCCATTTTCGACAGATCGGCCAACTATCCAGGTTGTACCCCGCCTCTCGCACCCATAGACTGCCGGAGATAGACACTGATCCCACCGCGACCCTGACAGGACTAAGTGGGAAAAATGAATGGAAATGGATGGATATCTAGAAATATTTACACATTTAAAATGGTCATTCTGACATTTAATAGCTTGACTGAATATCCATTTATGATATCTGAAAAACATTTCTTAATAGTCAAAATAATACAAAAAGTGACCAGTAACAATAGGAATATGGAGATTGGAAATTAGTTTCTAGACATCCAGAATGATTATTCTAGGTGTGAAGAATGTCATTTTGTTTGAAATGGTAATTTTAACAAGGAAATTTTTTTTTTTCCCAGATATCACAAATTCATATTCAGTATAGCAAAATGGCCTGACATAGATTGTGGTAACCTAAATCTGCATGTTGCAGACCAATAACAAAAAACTAATTTCCTGTGAACTGAGTTGTTTTTAACGCAAAGTAAAATGTGTGTGACCTAAATAAAAAGTATAAAGTAGGTAGATAGTAAATAAAACTTACACTTCTAGACATGGCCACCGTGGCTGTTATCAATGACAAACTGCATATTATCAGCCTTAAGATACCTAATAGAAGGTAGAGGAGGCACAGCCTGAAGTTATTCTATAGGACTGATGCTGTTTGACTGTGCAGTTTTATTTTTCTATAATGCTGTTTTCACATACAGTACACCAACGTTCTCTCTGATATCAAGCTCTGTTAAATAAATCTGTGTAATGCTGCAAATGTGAGGACAGATAAGGTCATTGACATATTAGATGGGTTGCAAGGTGAAACGGTAATGCTCACAAACATGATTTTCTAAATATGAAAGTTATGCATTAATTTCTGTGAATTAATGCTGGTTATTCTGTCATAAGATCGTCATCCTACATGCAATGTTTGTTTTTTAAAAACCTGTCTAACGGACCCAGTGAAAGTTTTTTTTTTTATTGCATGCACAAAACTATGACAAAGTCTCCAGGCTAAATCAGGAAATAAAACAACGTGATTACCTCTAAAGAGCAAAGACAGAGGACACCCTGAGTTTACTGAACAAAACCTGCTCCCAACCAGGATAGCTCTGGGGAGAATGTTTCTATGGTAACAGAAACAGAATTTGAGTAAACTCTCATTTTGAAATGGAGAAGTCAGAGAAACCCTTTCAGGTTTAGAAAACATATTCAGTAAACCTGCTTTTCGAAACTTATCCCTGCTATCTGAATTAGATAGGCAGCATCCAAACTAGGAACAAACTGCTATCTCCACATGCACTCTGTACTTATATAAAATTGGGTTTAAAAACCTACTTGTTTTCTGATACCATTAAGAATTTTTTTTTACTCTTTATATGATTTATTTAACTTTGAGCTCAACATTTTTCCTTTTTTGGGAGGTATATTTGTTATATAGTCTTAATGTTGCATTTGTGTAGTGTATGTGGCAAAAGACTTTAGTTCCAGGTAAATACGGCAGTACTTTCTTTGATCTTGAACTTAAAATCTAAAGTTTGTAGTTCATATTATGGATTGGATTGGAAAATGCTGGTACCAGCAAACATTCAAGTAAAGCAGTTAAGTTTAATGTGTATAAATTAAGATTATAACATGAAATAATCACTAATATGTTCCTTCTTCAGCTGTTAAAAGTTCTATTTTAGGAGGAGGCTATTTTTTGTGAGTGTTTTGTGGTGTTTTTTCTTTTTTGATATAGCTTTGAATTTCACATTTTTCTGTCTATTCTATTATGAGTTTTTCAACGCCAGACCTGCATTTTCTTCTTCTGGGGTTGACAACGCCTTTCACATCATCCATTGTGCCCCCTCAAGCCAAAAGATTACAGTACACAGTGAGCTTTTCTATATATGACATTTATTTTCATTTTCAACCACTAAAAGGTTTATCCAGTAGTCTTTTAACATATCTCTTGATGGGGAGTAGCTATTGTTGTCTTTTGTAAACTAAAATCTGTCTGGTATGATTATTTTTTCTGAAAATAAATCTGAAGAGAGAAGTGTGACTCTTCATTTGTGTGATTTTTCTTCACTAAATCTGAAGGCAGGCACTTGCGCAGCTGTTGGCATTAATAGCTTCTTTCCCCAGTTGTTGAATACAAATTCTCATCTGATTCACCACATTATGAAATCAGGTTTGATGAGATTGAGGGGACATTTATAGAAACATACTAAATTGATCATGGTTTTGTTATTCAACAGGCAAATTGTCATCTTTCATCTCTTTTCAAAGTTTGTTCCTAGGTGCCTCCTAGAATTTTAATAACTCCCTGGCAGACCAGTGTATACCACAGGAAAGCTGCAGCACACTGAATCAAATCAGACCTCCAGATGATAGATGTGTAGGCCTAGTGAGTCTAATATATTTTTATCGACATCTCACTCCTTTTAGAGCTAAAAAAAATATCAATAAACTTGCAGGAACCAGTTCATTGAGACTGTTTCTTATACTGAAATTTCTTATCTTTATTTTAATTTTGAATTCTATTAACAATGTCCCTCATGGTGAATTGCTTTGTAAAAACCTGCTCTCTTACCCACCCCTCCTGCTGCTGGGCGGGATGGGTGGCTTCTTCATCTCAAGCTCTGCTCCTTGATGGTTCTTTGCAGTATCTTTTCTTCTCCTAAAACTAAAGGCACTACAGTTGCTTTCACCTTCAAGGCTCTTTCTAGTTCTTGCCTGAGCCCTTAGTATTTCTCCAATCTCTTATGATCTTTTTTCCTGATGTTCCCATCATTTGGGGTGGCTACATCGATCCCTGCAGCCATTTTCTGCTCCTTATCAATTATCACAATGTCTGGTTGGTTGGCCACAACCATTTTGTCTGTTTGTATCAAGAAGTCCCACAGGATCTTAGCGCTGCCAGCTTGACAGACGGCAGCTCCCATTTTATTCTGGGCGTCTCTTGTTTGTATCCTGTCCAGATGTTTATGTACACCATACAGGCCACTTAGTTATGACATTCCATGTATTTCTTTTACCCTCATCTTACACCCTAATGTGAGATGGTGGATAATTTCTGGGGCTCTTTTCGCATGGTCTGCACCTGGGATCATACCTGCTATTGTAGATCGGGGCTTCTATTGCTCTGCTGCCCAAGGCCTGCTCCTCTGCTGCCATGATCAGTGCTTCTGTACTATCCTTCAGCCCAGCCTATCTGTCAGTGGTACATCCCATGCAAGGGTTTTCCCTCCTATGACAGTTCTTCCAGTTCCTTCATTTCCATCGTCCACTGTCTAAGACATTCACTAAGTGCTTAATTCCAGCTTCCTGATGTAATCTTGTAGCTTGGATATTTCATCTTCAATGGTGGCTCTGATGCTCACTAGGCCTCTGCCTCCTTCTTTGCACTTTGAGTCTAGTCTGTGGATAATGTATTTGGGGTGGAATCCACCATGCACACTGAGTGGCTTCCATTTTTTAACATCGGTGGCCTGAATTTCCCCCTTAGTCCAACTTATTAGCCCAGCAGGGTATCTTAATATGGGCAAGACATAGTTCTTGATTGCCTAAACATTGTTCTTACTAGTGAGGTGACTTCACACTAACTTGCCTTTGCCCTGAACACACCGAACCCGATTTTGCATCCGATCCTAAGAAAATTATGTCGTAAGTTATTTTTAACTACTTTTCATAATCAGTCTTACTCAAATGTGAGAAATCGTTTTAATTTGTGTTTGACACAGAGATAGAAGTGAAAAAGAAATGCACAGATCTGTTCACCCTGCCTAGTCGGAGCCTCTCTATACACAGTTAGTGTGACATGGAAAAAATATCAGATTGGAGATTTAAAAGTGGCATGCACCCAATCTGACCTGGCCTTTACTCATTGTAGATACAGTGGCAGTTGCTGCTTTCCTTTACCACTTCATGGTTGCCATTTGCCTGTGGTAAACCAAGCTAGTTAGATGCCAAGATGCTATTCTACCTCTTATTCTATCATCATAAGTCATTTGGTCAACATTGGATCCTTCAGAGATCCTCACTGAACTTCTGGTGAATTTTGCAGCATTGAAAGTAAAGGGCCCAATTCATTTTGCACGACCCATTCTTCAGTTTTAATTTGTTAAAAAAAAAGGTTAGAATATCCAATAAATTTTGTTCCACTTCATGATTTTGTCCAGCTTGTTGTTGATTCTTCACAAAACATTACAAATTTATATCCTTATATTTGCAGCCTGAAATGTGGCAAAAGGTTGAAAAGTTCAAAGGGGCCAAATACTTTTTCAAGTAATTGTACCACTGGCAAAGAAATTCAAGGAGGCTAGTTGCATTACATTATGTAAATTAGCCCCAACAGTGTGTAAAATTACCCTCTGGAGCTGTTCTGTTAAAGCCTCAGAGGCTTTTTAGCTAGCATTGGTGGACAACCAGGATCATGAAGACCAAAGAAGACATCAGAGAGGTCAGGAACAAAGCTTGAGAAATTTACAACAGATCCTAGGTTCATTCATGTTTATAAAGTTTCCTCAAACATTTTAAGCCCATTGCATGAAACTTTGAGAGGTTATTGAGCAACATCAAAGTAAGAAACACAAAGCAGTCCACCAGGGAAGAGTTTGAGGGGCCTATGGTATCTCTTCAGTAACTGCAGAGACCCACAGCGTAAATTGGGGAATCTAGTGTCAGAACAACTATAAAGCAGGCAAGTCACAAGTCTGACCTTTGCAACTATGTGGCCAAAAGTAAGTGTGTGATTCCTTTCTGCTGCCTCCTTCTGGGGTTGCTAATCCAAGTCTTTACAATTTAGACACAGATTTGACAGAGTTTATATGATAAATGACTTTCCTGCCACAAACCAGAAAAGTCATATCAAAGATGCAGACTTAGCCCACAAAACCACAGAGGGACAAGTAGCTGTAAGTAAGCAATAGTTGCAAATAAAAAAAATATATAATAGCAAAATGTTATCAAACAGTTTAAAGTTTTTTGTAAGCCATGTAGATGATCTTTATGTATGTAAAAAAACATGCTAGCCAGATAGGACTAAAATTTTACTTTTTGCAGATTCACAAAAACTATATGTCATGCCAATTCCCCTTAACAAACCAAGACCAGCGTAAATAATGCTAGTTGGAGCATTGTGCATCAGGGACACTTCTCTTTAGGAACAACAGGAAATTGGTGAGATCCGATGGGCTAAAAAGCTAAAAGCTAAAAGGGAAATCTGTTAGAGCCAGCAGTGAAATTGATACTATGTGGAAGACACAACTTCCTGCAGGAAAAACAAAAAACTAAATCATACAGCCATAGCTGCAATGGATTCACAACATATTTAACATTTTATGTTCCAAGACCAGTTTGAGTATAAACATAAATGGAATGGAATCTGTGAAAGGTGTTTTTAATCTTTCTTCATGGATGCTCATCTTTAAATGCATCCGAGTTAAAACTAATCAACAAAAAAAGAACTATATTTATCAATTAATTTATGGATAGAAATGTAGGCATACATTTCTATCTATAAATGTAGAGCACTAGCAAAGGGAAAAAAATAAATTAAAATATATTTGTTTTCATAATGTATGAGAAGCAAAAAAAGGCTTTAGGTTCATGAATACCTTTGGAGGGGACTGTATTTAAAAGGACTGAAAGGGATAAGGGTTTCTCTGTGGGTGTCCCTTTTCCCTAAATGTGCTTTTATGCTTTAAGGGTACATCTGTCATGAGGTGAAGCCCAGGAGACCAAAAGAAAAAGTAGTCAACCTGGCATTTACCTTTGTCTTTAAGAGCAAAGCAAATCAGCAGCTCACAACAAAGCGCTGGCACTTAGTTTGAGAGATCTAGAGAACTAAACTCCCCGGAGTGCGGCAGAAAAATACCAGCTCAGCCCCCTAGGGCTTTGAGCTTCCTAAGGAGTTTGTTAAGAAAGGCTGTATCGACAGTCTCAAACTGTGTAAAGCTTTACCGTCAGCTATGAGGTGCTCCGGCACATGTAAGATTACTCGAACTGAGAGGCTGCAGGCGAGGTGAGAGGAGTAAACTAGGCCGATCACACAGCTGATGACACTGATCAGGGTCAGGGTGGTCTTGTTGATGGGACTTCGAGGAGATCCTGCTGTTGGGAACAGATAGACAGAGAAAGAGGGAAGGAGAAGGAAAACACATATGATTTTAGATATATAAAAAGGACATCCCTGTGCTGTCTTGCAACCTTTAGGTACCACAAACATACATGCAAACACTCACAAACATGAACACACACTGCTCACAAGAGGAGTTACTCCACCCATTCTACAAAAACGGGCTTAGCTCCCATGAAAAGGACCTTTGGATAAAAAAAAAAAAGCATCAAGCCTTTGGGAGCTTAGATTGGGCATGGCTCAGTAGTGTAGACCTAGGTTTACCTTTGAAGGGTTTCTAACACCCATGCTGAGATGTGTGAGGAGAATAAAGACAGACCAAAAAAAAAGAGAAAAAAACTGCTTAGAGGCTGCTTTGCAACCAACCTTCTTTCCTGCGCTCTCCTTTTGCTGTCAGAGTAAAAATGTTTCCCTTATCTCTTTTACTCCAGAGTGCAACACAGAAAAATTTTAAATATGACCTCATACCCACAGGATGGATGCATACCTCTATGTATGCACACCCACACACACACACAAACCACATGTTGACCTTGAATGCTGGTAACCACACTTATATTTTTGAAACAGTAACTTTTACACTGATGCCAATTCTAGAATGAATTGTCACTTTTAAATTACTTTGGCAGAGCTTGTTCTTTCAGATGCTGCCTAAGGCTAGGCTTTAAACAAAGGCCAAATAGAGGGCTGACCTTTTGTATATTGCTAAAAAACTGTTTATGTAATCAAACAACTTATCCAGATATGGGATTCAGGCATCATCTCCCTTTTTTTTAGCAATTTTTGTTGAATATCTTCCGTTAGCATTGTGGACAAAACTCATACTTAAATTTTTTATTATGGCAAAAAGTCCTTGTATAACTTATACTATTTTGGGAATATGTTTCATAATCTTTATACAGACAGGAAATGACAAGAAATAATTTCGTCATGCCTCAGAAATCATTCTTTCCTCTGGATGTAAACAACACAGATGGGGCATCATCACTACCACCTTGTTCTAATTAAAGATGTTGCCTATACTTCCGGAGGCATTGCTGTGTATGTGACACCTGTGCACATGACGGGGGGATAATTGGCTTGGAGGCTTTGTAAAGGCTTGTAACGCCTTTTGACAGCAGCTATTATTTTGAGGGCATTGTTTTGTTTTGTTTTTTCCTCCTTCATCTCCCTTCCACAACCTATTACTGTACATCAAAGCTGCAAGGACAAGGCATGCTGACAGATAAAGCGTGCTCCACCACTTCACTTTGACAGCATTTGCACAGGGTCCTCCTTAGAAATAATATTTGTCTGTAATATTATTTCAAAATAGAGTGTTCTTCATATTGCAAGATGCAACACATATTACACCGTACTCAATACGGGGAACCTCTGATCTCATGATCTTGTTTGATTTCCACCAACAAGATTGTATGCAGATGGAGTGAGATCAGTTTCACATGCTAGCAATCACTATAAATTACTATGCATTTATACATTTCCTTTACTTGGCAAATTTATGTGCAAACACCAATTTAGAACCATCCACTGGCTGTATGTACAGAGTTTACTTGTCATGCGTTGTGACAGAGGCAATACCATCAGTGGGATAAATTGTCTGTAGGTGTACGAGTTCCTCCTTACCCCCAGAGCCCCACGCGCTGTTGGCGTTACCATTTCTCATACCTCGACTCCGGCGCCGACTGCGGTTCGGGTCTGTGTAAAACGCCAGCTGAGGCTCGCTGTCTGCCTCCGTCCCAGAGTCCCCGTCTGGGTTCAAGAAAGTTGAACCCGCTGTTGGATTCAAACAAAAATACACCTCTAATGAAAAAAAAAAAATGCTAGTGGGGACTTAGTCGGAGTGTTATCCTTTTAGTAACTGAAATGTAAGTGATGGTAGCCGGAATAAAGATGTTTCTGTGAGGATAATGTGCAGCCTTTTGAGTGCTCAAATGAAAGAAACGTGACTAAAAGGAATCACATACTGAGTTTTTAAAACCTGCCAGCACCTGACAAAATATTATTTAGCATATGATGGCATTTTGGGTTATTATCAAATGAAAAGTCAGATAAATGATCAGAAATAAAAAGCGGATGGTTCTCAAACTATGAACATCAATTTTGGTATCAAATATTACAGATTTTCAGCCAAGCAGAGGGCCAATACAGCCGAAATAATTGTTGTTCATGGATTTTCGGGTAAATAAAAATGAAATAAAATTAAATTAGACCTTATGTTTTCTATTTCACCTTACTAAATTATTATATCATTTATAACGAAAAATAAAAGAGGAAATCTTCCAATCATAAAGACGATTTCTTTTTTATTGTTTTTTTTGTTGTTGCTTTCATTAAACTCAACTCACTTAAAAAAAGTAACCGTAAAGTTTATAATTTCAAAGTGATTTGAGCAATCAAGATGTTGAAGTCATCACCTCCGATCTTCTAATTTACAGCATTTGAAATCAAGAAGACTCTGGTTGTGTCTGACATCTAACCCCTAAATCACTATAAGTTGTATAGCGGGGACTATATCTTGGACTTTATAGTGAACTCAGTTAACTGACTGTTTGGACAGATGATCACTATTTTTCAGTTTCTTTTGGTCACATGACTCTGCCTCCACGCATGGTGCCTATGCCATCTTTGTTATTTGTCACTGCTGTCGCACAGTGTCAGCCTGCAGCTCTCCTCGCAAAGCACTATGGGATTCATCTGCTCGACTAGTAACCATGCATGATCACTACTTTTTAAGGTGCACTGTGGAAAATTTCGATTTAGTGGAGGCAAGTGAGGACAATCAACAGTCCTTCCAGCACTAAATTAAAACAGATTTTTAAGGGAAAAAAACTTTACGTACAACCAGTCCCTGATTGGATGCAGCATTACTAATTTAATAGATCTGTCTGGTGTGTGAAGGCACCATAAAAGGTACGGTGGACCAAAGGGATCGATAAAAAAAAGAAATTACAGAAGGACCACAAAAACCACAACACAACTCCTTAAGCTAAACAGAAGTTGAACTAAAGTGGATGCTGTCCTTAAACAAAATTCTGTTTAACCTTTCAGACAGTTTCTCAGTCAGATTCTCACAGGGTTGTGGTTATAGAGATGAATTGAAAAATAAAAAATGTGAAGTAAGAAAAAACATTTTTATCACAATGATTTTAAGTTATGTAGGTAAT